GTCCTTTATTTGCTTTTAAGGAAAATAAGTGAAAAAAGGTGATTCGAAATTCAGATTTCCTTTAAATTTTTGTATTTTCTTTAGGAAAAACAAAGTAAAAATCAAAAACAAATTGACGAAAGCCTAAGATTTTGTTTATTTAAAAATACTTGAAATTCATGAGCCTCACGGCACGATTCGCCGAGAGCTGCTGTTCAGGTTCCATGTTGGAGTAACACGTATGCCAGGATAAGGTAGTGTTGTGACATGGTGAATACATAATATTATAATGATGTGTTCTTTACTGTTATTATTTCGTACTGTATTTTATGTGACAAGAACAGTGGTTGGGTTATATATCACGTTGAAATGTGTTAAAGTCAAAGGAACATTTCAATATAAAATATTATTTTTTATTTAGTTTTATAAACTCTTTCAAGTATCTTTTCTTTTGTATTTGGTAAATATTTTCTTCAATTTTAAGGTTCTCAATCCACTTTATTACTAAAACTAAGAGTACTGTCAGATCTCAACTCAATATTTTAAATATATTCTAACAAAATGCTGTCAACGGAGTGCTTCCCTGAAACATTAACTTTTTCAGTTCTAATCATCGAAGTTTATATTTATTCTAACCGAAATGCTTACCAAAAAGTTTCTGGTTGAAGTAATAACTCCTAAATTAAAGATTAGGTTGCAAAGTTGGACATTTGATAGACCCTCACATTTCAAAAAATTATAAAGCTGTGAAACATATATTGTTTTAAAGTGTTCGAGCATCGGACTGCTCGAAGAGTTCGAGTTAACTCTAACTCAAACATCTGGATTAAATACTTTAAATTCTGCGAAAAGCTCGAGATGCTGAAAGATAATAGAATTAATTTTATTTTAATTTTGTTTTATACAAAATATTCTGATTTATGTTTTATTTATCAAGCGGTTGAGTTTATGGTGTTCGTACATATTCGAGCTGCTCGCTATGCTCCAACCAAAAGATCGGGTGTAAGTGTGCTGGTCCAAACACCATAATCTCGCTCGCGCTGGATATATGGCCCACTGTCTTCCAAGCTGAGGTTCACGCCATCGAGGTTTGCCCTCGTATCAACATTAACAAGGGGTTGAAAGGCGCCCGAATCTGTAGTTATTCAGATAGTCAAGCAGTAATCAAAGCGTTATGCTCCTGGAAGTTTTTCTCAAAATTTCTAGCAGACTGCTATGACACACTGCAGCAGCTGGCAAGCAATAATAAAGTGACACTGTGCTGGGTGCCTGGTCACACAGGAATTAATGGTAATGAGTCTGCCGATAGTCTTGCACGGGCAGGATCCGCCACTCTAATCAGTGGCCCAGAGCCACATTCTATGTGACTGCTCAGCTTTGATTTGGGCCAGGAGGAGATCACTGGGTCGGGAATTGCTAGCACCTTCCGACATTCGAAAGGCGGAATGTCTTCTGTTCAGTTAGGGTCTGTTGTAGCACAAAACATCAATCATGGTCGCGGTGCTCTGCCCAAATGGGAGCTAGTACCCTGTTCTTTCTTATTCTTATTCTTAAGTGTGCTCGAACATTAAAGTACTCTATTCTTGAGAAGCTCGAATAATATTTGTAGCAATAAAAAAATTTATCAATTCTGATTCTCCTGCCATATGATAACGAAATATTTTCACGTGAAATTAAAAATATGGATATGAAATATGTGTTGTTTTAACAGCACAATGCCAGATAAAATATCTAGATTTATGATTTCTAGGTATTGGCCACTAAGGTCATGTAATTTGGCCACACTACGGTAGTTGTGAATTTAATTTTGGAATATCAATCAATTTAAAATCGAGCAATTGCCAACTGTATTTAAATGAAGAATCGAAAATTACTCCAAAAGAATTGAGGATTGTAGGAAGTCTCATGGAAAACATTTTTATGAACTTGTATTGCACACTTTTTGGAAATTAAAAATTTGTTCGAAATCTCAATCACAAAGATATCATATTTACGTTTACTTCTGGATCCTTGGAATAAATAACCCCGTATTAGAGAATACTATAACCTATATTGACATAATTGTATTACTAGAGCGAAAAGGTATATTACTATCGGAACTTATTGTGTGATATAATATAAGCCTTAGTGGAAACATAATATTACCAGATTTTCCAGATTAAATAAATAAAA